GACCGTTAATCGATATTTATTTAGAAATCGTGAGATGCGGTCTGGTGTGATGTAGGTTTCAGAAAAACATTTTCTTTATCGTGCCAACGTTTCGATCTTAATCGTTTTTTGTTAAATTTAAACAATGTTTGTAAATCCCGGGCCCTGAAGATGATCTCAATAAAGATCGAAACGTTAGCACGATAAAGAAAATGTCTTTCTGAAACCTACATCACACCAGACCGCATCTCACGATTTCAAAATAAATATTTATTATTTTAATTAAGTTTCACTGCAACTTTTAAATTATGGAAAATTTTATCGTTTTTAAATGTAAATATAATTTTGTTTGAATTCAAGGGTATTCAACGAAAAATGCATTAACTTAAAAACCATAACTGTTCCGATTTTATAGACGTGTTAAGATTTTAGGAAGATCTAGGTTCCAATTAGTTAATTAGTAAAATATGGTGAATTATTATGAATTAGTAAGTAGTAAAAACACATACACACTATTATGTATTAATTTAATTAACTTATATCAGCTTAAAAGCATGAATCACTCTTGAGAGATAACTCCATGTTTTTCTTTATAGATATCTTAGACCCTCTATAGTTAGAAAAAGCTTGAATCTAAATCGTCTAATTTATACAGGCTGTAAATATATCACGTTGTATGCAGTTTGATTGTTATTGATAAAAGTATAATCATGTGGTCTGCGTCGTGTACACGGCGGAGGTATGCGATCCGGGGCACTGACATTTAAAGGTAAATCAGCCCTGCCTAGGTACCGACTCCCTGGGTACTATGACAAATTTACAGTGGATCCCTTTTTTCGTGCACTTATTAGAGAGATACGCTATGTTAATGCTCCTATTAAAAACGGTGGTAGTCGTCTGGGAACCTGGTTATGCTGAGCTGGTGGCAACTAACGTCCTGTCTGAACCTCTGCGATTCGGCTTGCTGACACTGAACGAGCAATAAAGAATGCAATGAAAGAACGTCGGCGTCGTCAATGAGTCGGATCGTCCAATCATAGCTTGTTGAGAACACGACTGGGCGATTTCCACCGATGGTCTGAAACGCAAGGAAGGGATCGTGCTCACTCGTTTGAGCATAGGCCACACACGATTGACACACGGACAACTGTTTTTGGGGCAAACACCGCACAGGTGTCCCGCTTGTAGAGAAAGGTTGCTCAGTGTGTCGCACTTCAGCAGTGGCCTTGCCATTTTACAGGGAGCGAGTAGGCACAACACCTAAAGACAGTCCTTAGCATGAGAATGTTGCTGGTTCCCCTTTTAGAATTTTTAAGGAATATGATGGTGTTTCCTCTTCTTTAGAGTGTAAATATTGCATATAATGTATGTAAGCGTATATAATGTATGTGTGCTTGATAAAAAGTATAATTGATATTTGGTCGCTCCTTTTCCCTGTCTTCCTTGCAATTCTTGGCTTCATACTGAGTATAGCATAAGTATACATTATAAAAGACAAGATAGATTAGCACAATTATATAATTGTATATGATGTCTTTGGTTTGAAATGGTTTAAGTTACACGTTAGCATTTTTCTTGACTTAACATACAATTTAAATTCACTATTTTCGTGGTCCGCTTGACCAATTAATACAATTTAAATTAAAAATTGTCCCTACATTAAATAAAGACAACATCGGTTTTCCAGTGTAGCCGGATCGTGCTTCACATCATCGAGATAAGGAAAAAAGGGCTCGAGTTATGTAAGAATCGGTTACATAAGGATTCGACCGGCAGTCTCACACGCTCTTCGGGAAGAACGGTGTGCACCAGGTAGAAAATCCATTTTCAAAATGGCCTTCAGGACCTTCACGAGGCGATTGTACTCATCCTCGTCGGTTGAACTTAATGGGATGTTCATTCCGCTCACAACGCCTTTTAAGGCCGATCAGTCGATTTGCTACGAGAGCCTCGGATCCAATCTGAAGAAATACGAGAAAATCCCTTTCAAAGGTAAATGTTTCGACCTTTCAGAACTATTGTGGCATTCAAAGTAAATCTTTTTAACGCCTTCACCTTCGATTACGATTTTGCATCTGAACACCTTAGTTTTCTGCCATTATTAAACATTTCACTTGTTCTTCAACGGTTTTTCATTCTTAATTCACTATTTTAATATTTTTTGTACATAAGAAATATAAAACAAATTTTTAACACTCCAACCTAATATTTTCCGTCAAAATTATTTTTGGAGTAATTAGTTTATATGTCCCTTAGTCCCTGGAAAGCGAGAATAGACGGACCAGATAGATCACTTGTCTGTTGTAAAAGTTTCTTAGAATATCAGATTCTCAGTATGTGAAATGCTTAAATGTTGAAAAACCAGTTGAAAAATCATAAAAATTCAAAAAGAGACATTTTTGATTAGATAATTCACATAAAAGAAACGAGGCTGAAATATCGAAATAAGTTAACCTTTTTATGTAAGGTTTTGGTTGAAATGAAAAAGTTAGCGTCACGAGCGGGATTCGAACCCACGACCTTCGGCTCAATACGCCGCTGCTACAACCACTTGAACTATCGTGACTTCGATCAAATCGGACACCAACTCCCCATCTCAACCTACAACATTCGAATTTTTCCTCCTTTGAAAGAAGTAATTTGGACAATAGACCATTAAATATAATGGATTTAATAGGTATCTAAATAACCTTAGTTCACCCCTTCATTTTAATTCACAACTTTATAAAATCGCTCATGATACATCAGTTTCATTGATGTTTACTGTTCAGTGAATACATAATTCATAAACTGGTCAGATTACACGAGTTAGTTGATAAATGTTCACACGAGTCAAAACGACAAGTTTCGATTCACACGGACATAGCTATAAATCTTTCATGTGGCAATTATTTAGATTAGTCGGCCCAAAAAGGGCCGTAGTGCCGTATAAACTACTCATGGGACTTTGTGTACATGGCCGAACACCCTCTGGGACGTGAGATATAATATGCTAATGAATCCGCCATGAATTTCCAATAGGATTAGTGACAAGTTGAACGGTCAGGATCCATAGGTTTGAAACGTGGAGGATGTTACGTGATATAATATGAATTGTTATTAACTTTTAGCTAGAATTTTATTTAATTTTTGAGATTTCCTCTTGGGGTCTGGGGGGATTTCCTGTTTTGTTCGGCCTATCACAGTTGTTTTGATCAGACAGACGAGTTTTGCCATTTTCACCACGGTTTATAGCAAAAATAGGAAGGCCAGGATGAACAGCAGGACTCAATGTCTCAAAAAGTAAAAAATAAAATTAATAAATCTCAGATTTCGTCTTGGGGCCCTAGTTTGGTCATTTCCGATCATTTTGGTGTGCCTATACTTGCTATTTTGGTCTGTCCTTTCGACTCACGTCATCTTCAGCAATGCTAAGAAAGACCAGAACATCGAGGGTATGAAGGCTAAAATGATCAGAAACGATCAAACTATATAATAAATAATTATATTGGCCAAATTGCTTCTTTCAATTACTTAATCTTTTTATGTAAGATAACCCCTCATCTCAACCTACAACCTTTCGAATTGAAAAATGGCAAAAAGAAGGAAAATTCGAAAGGTTGTAGGTTGTGATGGGAATTGGTGTCCGAGTGGATCGAAGTCACGATAGCTCAAGTGGTAGAGCAGCGGCTTATTTAGCGGAAGATCGTGGGTTCGAATCCCGCTCGTGACACTCGCTTTTTCTTTTCAATCAAAATCTTAAATAAAAAGGCTATATAATAAAAATGAACTCGGACTAACAAAATACACACAGATCCGAAAATGATGATGGTGAACAGCTGAAACGCTTCTGACAGACCAAAACAGGAAAGATTGACCAAAAGAATCTGACCAAATTGAATTAATAGTTTTGTTTGTAAACAGGGTATTTAGTTTCTGGAACGACCGGTGAGTCACCTTATTTGTCATACCAGGAGAGGGTAGATTTGGTCAAATTCGTCAGGGAGAACACGTCCAAGGAAAAAGTAATCATCGGAGGAGTGACAACAGAGTGTAATGCCTAGATGTCACGGTAAAATTTAAAAATTTAAAACTTTTGTCGATTTTAAAGCGACCAGGATGTCATGCGATCTCACGCAAGAGTTGAAGAAAGCAGGCGCAGACGGCGTACTTATCATGCTTCCGTTTTATTTCAAGAGATTCATGACTGTAAGCGATTTTTCTCGAGATTTTTACAATTTCTATCTGTCGTTTTTTTTATAAACAGGAAGATGCGATTATGACACATTTCACGACCCTGGCGGACGAAGGCGGTCTTCCGGTCGTCGTCTACAACAACCCTTGGGTCACCGGGATGGACATCGGGACTCCCATCTTGGCCAAACTGGCTCGGCATCCATCAATCCGAGGCGTCAAGGATTCTGACGTGAGCCACATTTGTTTATTTCAAATAAATTTTTATTGTTTTGTTAACAACATTATTATGATTAAACAACTCAAATGGTCCGCCACCGGAAGTGACATATGACCTTTTTTTCTACTGTAGAATCTAGCCAAACAAAAAGTTGTTTACATAAATACCATACTTTTAGACAATTATCTATACTTTGTATACCGTATTTTTGAATGAATGTTAACTGTCACAAAAGTAGGGACTTCATAGATGGAAATGGTGGACCAGAGGATCTGCAGGAGAGGTTATTTTTAAATTTTTATTTTACCAACGGGTCCATGTGTTCGAGTACCATTTCTTGACACTAATTTTCTTCTCAACCTTCTTTGCATTAAAATTAAAAAAAAACCTTACTTTGTGCTTTATTTATGCCTTACAACAAGTATGGCTCAAAACTCATCAGGATATATCAGTTTAGGTTGATTATCCCTTTATTTTATTTTATTACCTACTCAACATTGTATTGTTGTTAACAGTGTGGTGCATACGACGTACCTTAGAACAAACAATGCACAACCTTCTTAAATGGAATCTGGTGGCAGTTTTGGAATTCCTGTCATGTTCTGGTCATAGATTTATTGTAAATTTTAGATCAAAAATGCAATGTATTTTTATTTAAAGTTTTGATACTTTATAAAGTTAGGAAGCATTTTGATTATTTGAGAAAATTTGAAACTTCTCTCATCACCGAGGGGTTGATTTTCATCTGGTAATTATGTGAAATCCTTGGTAGAAGGGTACGCAAGTGAAGGGGCGAATAAACTTGTCTTGTACAATACTCCTGAACAGCAGGACTCTAGATTAAATGGAAACTTGTGTCCTTGTGTACTGCGTCGCCTGGGCTTTATTGACCTCCCTTGATAAAGAAAAGGCTTACAGCTACAAGTCCATACGAAATAAAAACCCAGACAGTCTCTACGTTAAATCTTTCTTTATTTTCTGTTTCAAATCAAACGTTGTTTCAGGTAAGAAAAAACACCGTTACTCTTATGGAAACTAAAGGGTGCAACTTCGACGTTCTGACCGGTTCCGCCGGATATCTACTCGCATCATTAATGATTGGCAAGCAGAATATTTTAAAAAGTTCATTTATATAAACAGATTAACTTTTTTTTTCGTTTTGGGCTAGGTTGTTCGGGCGGCTTTAACGGACTCGCGGGTATCTTAGGTCATGAACTCTGCAGAATTTGCCAACTTGTCGAAGAGAAGAAGTTCGAGGAGGCGATTCAGCTGCAAATCAAAGTTTCCAAGCCTGACGTGCTGGTAATGATAATTTTACTATATTTATTTACCCATTTTGTTTTAGTGGTCAATTGACCAAGTTACTTATTTCAATTAATTATTCTTTTTATGTAAGGTCTTGGTGGAGATAAAAAAGTCAGTGTCACGAGCGGGATTCGAACCCACGACCTTCGGCTAAATACGCCGCTGCTCTACCACTTGAGCTATCGTGACTTGGATCCACTAGGACACCAACTTCCTATCTCAACCCACGTTTTAAAAAATGGCAAAAAGGAGGGAAAATTCAAAAGGTGATAAAGATTAATTAATTGAAAAGAATTTATTTGGTCAATCGTACCACGAAACCATTTTGATTTATTTTAATATAAAACTTAAAAAATCAACACTGTCGAGAATAGTATTTTAAGGTTTTGTGTGACATTAAGATACAAACATTATTGTTATTCCCTAAAAATACAATTATGGAATATCAATAATGTTTTTAAATTTAATTTAAATGACATTTGAGGGTCCGCGGTAGAAGAGTGGTCATCGTGTTTAGACACTCAGTTCATAGACCCGCTCGCGGTCGAGGGTTCGATTCCCATCATCGCCCCTGGCCTTTTTCCCGCCACCCATCCTCCAGGATTAATATTCTCTAATTTTTCTTTGTCTAATATTAAAAGATAAGAATATAGCAATAATCTTCAATCGGATTTAAATGCTTTTAATCTCAAAACATTCAACAATCTTGTCTTACAAGATGAGGTGCTTAAATAATGTCATAACACAATTGGTCATTTTGATTTAACTATATGAAACAATGTAACTAATTTAAACTAAAATTATATTCACAATTTCGAATATCATGTAAAAATATTTATTTGCAAAACACAAATACATCAGTACTTTAGTACTTTACTTCCGGTGTAATTAGTGATCAGCCTTCAAGATTGTTATTATATACTGATTCACAAAAAAGATCTGGTACTTTCAAATTTTTGTGTAAAAAAAATTAGTTGTGAATTACTAAATCTTGAAGAAAAAAAAGATTAACACCTCTTGCTTTAATTTCACTAATGTTTTACATAAATTATGTTTAATTAAGGACTTATTCAGTTGCATACTGTTAGAAACTGTTGCTAACTTTCTCTGAAATGGTAAATCCATAGTATTTTTGTTACATCTAAATTGGACTTATTTAGACGTAGAATAGTGACAAGTTCATTTTTATTCATTACGTTGTTTTTGGTTTGTTTTTTTGATAGGATAACGTGCTCGTTCGCGTTATTTTTTTATTATTTTTACGAAAAGTTTTCATTAGCAAAATATAAAAACCTAATGATGGAATTTATCCTTATTATTATTACTTATAATTAATAAATTATTATTAATACTGTATAATTAAATTATAATATTAATATATTATAATAATTATTATATTGTATTAATATATTATATAAAACTTATTATTCGAAGTGTGTCCAAATGTGCAACATTTAACGGCAGGTAATTATTAATTCTCTTCCTAATATAGCGTTAAACTCCAAAAATATTTATTTTGATTGAACAACATTGAAAGTATTACCCCCCTCACCGGTCATGAGCAGAAATGTCTCCGGAAATACGGAAATATTCTAATTGTTCTTGGTTTCAATTTTATTTAAAAAAATCTAGTTTTGAAAATTTATTGGGTTGTCCGGAAAATAATGCAGGATTTTGGTATTAAACAAAAAAAAAGAAACTAGTTACTTTAAAGCAATGTTCTTTAATCAAAATAATTTCCCANAATGAGTAATCCTGTAAACGTAAACAGAATATTTTATATAGATTTTTTTTAATGAAAACTTAAAATCCTGCATTATTTTCCGGACAACCCGATATCTAAACTTGGTAGGTCTCATTTGAAAAAATAAAGTTGATATTCAATTAGCTATTACTGTAAAATTAAATTATTTTATACCCCGGGGAAAAGATTATGGAGTATTACCATTTAATTTTTTTACGAGGGTTCGCAACAGCAGAGGTCATATAAATCCTCAGGATGCCGGTGTTTTTGAAAAAAAAGCCCATTTGTAAGTATGTCGGGTTCGAATGTAGGGCCGCTAGATTCGAACCCGGGACCTTCACCTTACAGTGATGAGCGCCGTGTCAACGACTAAACCTTGCGGCCACCGACGCCCCTGTATTTATCTATTACCCTTCGTGTTCGAGAAAAGTTGGTGACACAGTGAAATAGAGATACTCTGTATATTGTCTAAATAGTGTAATTTTTTTAAACTATTTATTTTCACATGCGTCAATTGCTTAAAAAATTTGCTAAATCTTAGAACACCACAAAATGGCAACTATGTAGTACAACCCAATAAGCCTGAACCAGAATAACCGGTGTAACCCGGCAGAAGAGGATGAACAGAATTTAATGAAAATATTGAATGAAAGAGAGAGAGAGGGGGAGAGACAATACTTTATTTTCTTTTTGGACTAGAGTCCCTTGGAATAACAATAAGGTCACAAAAAATTGTATATATCTGGTACACGAAGGGTTGACATTGTCATATAGTAAAATTAATTGACATAAAACACATAATACAAAATATAAAATATACAAATAATAGTACCAATGATAAGAATTTAAGGAAAAATAGTAGCAATAAATAGTACTCTGCCTTATGCGATCATAATAGCAAACTGTAAACTTAAAAAGTTGAGAAAAGAAAGGAAACAAGCTTTCTTACGTAGTAAAAGGGCATTGTTCAGTATAATGTGGTGCTACATGCTCCTTTTATTGATAAGCAGTTTATGTTTATTCATAACATGATCAGCACTGTCGCCAGTAAACATATGTTTACATTAATTTTGTATGGTATAAATATTTGTAGGGAAAGTTTACTTAAATAAAGGCATCCCTTTGGTAATACTCTCCCCTCCCTCTGATTGTTTGCCTGGAAAATGCAGTTGCAACGGGGAATGAACGGAGGTAAATATTGACTAAGTAGATAATAAACGGGATGAAAATGAAAAAGAGGACGATCACCCTCCTGGGTCTTTATTGAAACCCAACATCTGTGATTGTACAGGACTCGGATTTGAACACGGTTATTAAAAGATCCTTGATAAATTCGTACTCGGCCGTCGTTTCGTCAGTGCAACCGACCAGAATTATTTTAAGTGCAAAAACCGGCCGGGGTGATGACGTTTCCCCCCGCCTTTCGGAAAGAACGAACGGCATCATCGCGGAAACTGGAAAACAGATGTAGGCGATCGTAGAAACTCTTAGAGGAAACCCTAAACCGTATAAAATGGGCAAACAAGTAACAACATGTGGGAATCATTAAACGGGGCTAAGTCCACAGTAAATCATCCATTCGGGTTGAACCCGGGATCGAGAGATGTTCGTTAACAGCGAATTGTAATGAGACGGATGGTATTAAAATTCAATTACGAACCGCAGACACCAGAGTTGTTGGAAATACTCAGAATAATAACGGGTTTTGTTCAACTTGGGGACTCAGGTCTACTATAAGAACTTCGGATTGAGTTGCCAGGTAATGGAAGAAAATCGCTTTTTGCTCTTTCTTGTTTACAAACGTGCCTTGCCGTCGAGTCGTTGAAATTAACTTTTTTTGCAGTATTGAATATTTCTTTGGCACGGGGTTTATTGTAATAAATAAATCATAAAATGTGTGCTTTAATAAAAACAATAACAATGAAAATATGGGTTTTATATCCTTCTAGAGTTGGTCATCTTGGCGCACGGTTATACTTATAAGCCCATTTTAGAAGGTCCTGTCAAAAAAAGACACTCTTTTGACAGTATTTTTCTAAATTCTTAGTTTGTAATGTTCCTTATAAAAATTCGGTTTTTACCACACACTAAAAGAATTAGCTAACTATTCAGTCAAGGTTAGTTTATTAGTATTATTTTATTTATTATTAGTATTAGTAGTAGTAGTAGTAGTAGTAGTACTAGTATGTCATTGGTCATATATTTTGTTACCTTAATCATTACTTGATGGTACAGTAAATAGTTAAAAGTCTAAAACTTTGAAAGTACATCTTTTAGTACTAACATTATCGTCATTATTACCCTATCGCCTGCTACGAACTTAAGTACATTGATAATACTTAGCATGGTTGCATTGGTTTTATTTTTTTTCAAAGACATTCTCCTGGGTGGAAGTGGTGCACCATAGTCGGTCAGGATATAAGTTTCTACGTCTCTCAGCACAATATTTACACACCTTGTTGGTTAATGCCGATCTTTCGCATAGTCCATTGAGGCAGCAGTCTTGGACGTTCCCATAGAACCAAGGACTTATTTTAATATTTTTATGTTATTCTGAAATTCTAATCGGCTCTGAACTTTACTATCAACGAGGTTGCCTTTCGTGTCTCTTGGCTGTGCGAGTGAACTGGCTATTTTTCTGTTAAAGATACCTAGCCTTTTCCCCTCGTCATGTCCAATAGGCACAGTCTCCACTTGAAACACCCTAGCGAATAGCCCAAGGCTTATATAAACGATAATCTCAGGTTTATTCCGTAGATACCAGCTCTTGACTCATATTTGGACTTAGCGCTATTTGTGTACCAGACATAGTCGGCATCCACCGGGATCCTTTTCTGCCCCTAGTCTGTTTAATTTGGTATTTTATAGTCCGAGACATGGCGCTGATAGACAACCTTACCCACTTGAACTTTCCCCAAAAGTAGTAGTGGTGACCTCATGTGGTTATTAAAGTTTCAACTAGATTGTCCACTACTTCAACAATGCATTCTTTCTACCAGCAGCCAACGAGCTTGCAGCCTATATATAAGCACGGGCTCATCCTGCCTAGAACAGATTCGTCGATAAGATCGAATCAGTAATGGAACAAAGCACAGACACTAGCTAGAAGCAGCAAGGGTCATCTAACAATATGAAATGATCCCACACCCAAAATGGCTGACTGCTGCGTTAGTACTCGATAACGCTCATTGTCGGCATTAGTGGGGATCGTTTTCATGGCTCCAAATGCCCAGTCATGTTACCCTCTAGGCAGTACTGAGGGTCCTAACTGACCGTACGCTTATTTTTGGATCTAACACCCAAGAGCAATTGACCCTCTTCTGTAATTCTGTATATAGTTTCTGATTTGAAAAAAAATCGTTGATTACATTAAACTTCTTACTTCTAATTTAAAATCTTCTTTAAATAGATGGTGTTGAGTTCAGTTCTCTGATGTAACTTAGAAATCCGGCGTTATATTTACGTCTTATTTTTGCAGTCTATGTTCAGATTGAATCGTGTCCATATCTCAAATGTTATGGCTTCTGTTTGAAAGATATTAGTGGACATGTTCTTGGGGTATTTCTAGTGCTTGATTTGTTTAGTCAATAGTCCTCACCCTTCATCTTATCGCGTCTTATGACCCCTCTTCACTATGGGCCATGAATTGGTCCCCGAGATGGGCATCATGCTACTCTGACCATGGGCTTGGTTCTACCCACTAGGCTTAGTGATGATAGATGATCCAACCCTTGGCCCAAGATTAGGCCAGCATGGCCTCAATGGCCTATAGTCGGTTATTTTCCTGCACCTTGATGCTGGAATATCGATAGCGATTGCAACTTTGTATTTGCCCAGGGTATATACACATGTTATCGACAGAAAACTGGCTGGAAACAACAATGCCCACCAATGTTGGCCCGTTGTGTGGACACGTTGTTTACCTACTGCGCACTTTGTTTGCGTATTGGTTTTTTAATGTGTTTATAAGACAGCTCCTAAAGCCAATGTTCCCTAACACCATTTCCAACCTTGGTCAATATGCGCCAGTACAGGCCATTTTCTTTCTACATTTCTTTGGAGAGATTTTCGCAATTTGCTTACAAGTGTCTATAAAAGGCAAGTCGAAATAGAAAAACTTTTATAAATCAAGATATAATTTAGTCTGGTTGCTTTCAATCATTTTAGTCCGTGTAGTGTGTTTCACCTTCTCCGATATTTTTAGTGCTATGTAATAATTTGAGAATTGTGTATTTATGTATTATGAAACACCCAAAACAGAAGTTTTTGAAATGGCGAAACGCGTCTGGTGAATCAAACCATTACAGGCACACCAAAACGATCGGGAACGATAGCGTTATGAGTCAGCCACCCTGTGAAGAAACTTCACAACTTCACAATTTTATAATGCGTTAAAAAGAAACAATTTTTACTTTGTCCAAAAATTTATTTTTCATATTTACATTATAATTTGAAGGTTATGCTTACCTATAATTTGTTTGATTTTACTTAGTGATTCTATTTAGAATTTCCCGATCTTACTGATACTTCCCGTAGTTCCGGTCTTTGTGTTTAATTCGTTTATTATGGCAAGAGCGTTTTCGACAATCGAATCCATTGTACGGCATTCTTCCAGCGCTTTTTTGGCCTCCGCGAGACCGCCTTCTCTTTTCAAAGCTTGGAATCTTTCTCTAATCAATTCTCTTTCTTTGTAGAAATTTTCCTTTTGCTCTTGATCTTTCTCCGCTTGTTTATTTCTTATACGATCCCTGTGCAAATAAATTACATGAATTAACTCTAAATAAATGCAATATTGAATAGTGCACCTGAATTCTTTGATTTGCATGGTTGCGGTTTCCACATCCAATTCACCGAACTTATACAGTGGCATTGAGGTTACTTTATCGTAAAGTTTGCCACGAATGCGTAAATGTCTGGCACGTATCAGAAGTGGAACGTCGTGCATACTCATTTGTGGGTTCTTCTTCTTACTAAAAGTTCTCTTAGTTATTACGATATCAGATACTTGACGTATAATAAGGCGTACGATGATATATTTTTCGTCTGCTTTTTTTTGTATTGGAACCATCTCTTTCCCTCGATGAAAGAGTTGTAAATATCGTCCAAGCTAGGGTAAGTCATGTCCAATATGCCTACAACCCGTTCCCAAATATTAGCCGGGTTGTATCTGTTCAGAACAAATCTCGGTATTATAAGAGCAAGAACTTCGTTTTCACAGATGACCGTGTTTTTCGACATTTGATCCCCTGGAAATACGAAATCATAGACAAATATAACATAACGAAAGAAGAAAATTCATACCCAAGCCGAAGACGCATCTTCTTTTTAATGTGCACGTCTGCATAAAAAACTGTTTGACGTTCGGAGGAAGGCTCTCGTCTAACGGGTGGTTTTGTTGAAGATAAAGCCGATATCTTTGGCGGATGGTTGTTTTAGTTTTGTCCTCTTGTATGAGAAGGATTTGAACGACCTGCAACGTACCGTCCACCACGAACGTCGCGATTTCCGTCCCCGTGTTGTCTTTCACTATAAATCCATTCATGTCTTGAAGGGTTTTGTGGAACGCTAACCGGTCTACTCACGTGGAATGATAGTGTTAGGGCGGTAAGTGATTAAATTAGAAAATGAGCAAATGGCCCTGATCGCGCTCTCCGGGAATTTGTTGAACTGGGGAAACTTCCCCAACGCCCACCTGACCTCGTTCCACTGTTTGTGCACGGTCGTTTCAAGCAAGCTGACGAAATCTTCCTTGTTGAGCATCAACACTTCGACCTGATCGGCTGGAAGGAGTAAAACGTTAGAATTTTAAAGGAACGAATATAATTCATTACACTCACAAGCTACTGTCACCGTGCTGTAATGCGGCTCGTTGTAGAATATGGCGAGACTTCCGAAATTGTCTCCTTCCCTGTACTGATCAATGTTGTGTTGTATTTCACCTGGGAAAAGCGGATCTGAATATTCTTGATCCGAATCGACGATTCCTTCCGTAATGAAGTACACATAATTTGCGCGATGCCCTTGCCTAACCAAGACGCGCCCTTTCGGCCAGGCGTTGAATGTCGCTCTCGATATCAAAGACCTTCTTAAGTCCTAAAGACAACAAATAGTTAATTTCAAAATATTTACAAATGGTTTGTCTAGAGGTCCAGCTCTCACTTCCGGGTAGGCCTGGAAAGATTTGAAAATTCGAAGTTTGGAGTTTATCAAGTCGATGTCCTCCGGATTTCGGCGATCTGGCGGTTGTTTTAAGCAAATCTTATCCTAGTATGAAAATAAATGATAACCATAAATTAAACGAATTATCAGCGTTAAAACAAAAAAATCAGGCTGTTTTTGGACCACAAATTTTGGGCACTCTCAACACGACACACAAGAACGATACATCTACACAGAAAACAAACACTTTGAGCCCTGAAGATGATCTCAATAAAGATCGAAACGTTGGCACGATAAAGAAAATGTTTTTTTAAACCTACGTCACACCAGACCGCATCTCACCATCTTCAAATAATCATTAACTAACGGTCGCTAAACACCACACACAAATTTACACAAAACTTCAGATATTGTTAGATATCTCTGTGGTTGTTGGATAATGAACCTGTAATTTTGCCGTTAGATTATTTTAGGATGAATTGCTCGTTACGTTAGTCGGTCTAACAATTTAGGGATTGTACCATCTTCACCTAAAAATCCCCGTCCCAAAACTGAATAAGGCGAAATGCCGAAACATTCTGATAGATGAATACAGCGAGGACATGCAGACCAGAATGATAGTTAACGACCAATTTACAAATTTATGTATATTTAAATACGATATATAACATTGACATGAATAACCTACAGTACAAAACAGTATGCAAAAGTTTAAATTTGCGAAAAATATATGAGACAGACTAGCAATTCTCAATCTGTTGGAAACAACATTGCATTTTATGGCTGAATATACAATATTCGGCGAGATGACAGGTTGTTGATCTTTTACCCTTTCTAGATGCTATCAACTATATTTTTATATAAGAACACGTTAAATCATTTATAGCCAATGTCGGAAAATTCATTTCATCGATACAACACGTCTCAAACATAATCATCCTTAAAACTTCTCAAAATGTTCAAAAAGAAAAGTAGAACATATATAAACATCGCAATCTACATGAGAGAACTTATAAACACTCAAATAAATAACGTCACATATATCATTTACTCTATTAAAATGTCATCACAACATAAATGGAAAACGAACTGATGATAACTGGAACAAACGACAAAAAAAACCCCATCAGACTAGATATTATAAAAATAAAATATGAATTAGTGATTAATTAAATTTGTTGTTTAATCGTTTCCGAGTATCTAGTTCTGCCTATCCTCGCTATTTTCGTCTACCAGTCGCGTCTTTTTTCCGTCTTTGGTCGTTCGAGGGTATAAGCAAGGTGAGGCACAAGCACAAACCCGCCACTGAACTTAGTAGAAACCGGAACGCGCAAAACCAGACCTGGATAATTCAAACAATTACAAATTTCTGATATATCATATCGCATCAATGAAAACATTATCTCACAATGTATTGACATATTTTGTGGAAAAATAAATAAAAATTCTCACATTTCGTTAGTACATTGTGTAACAAATGTATTCTGTCGGACAGAGCCCTAACAGAACTACGAAGTACACATTATCGAATAAATTTTTTAGAACAGAAGAATTTTTTTCTCTTTGTATCAGTGACAATTGTCTCAGAGGAACACTATTTTTGAGATAGCAGGCGAATCGAGAGCCCGGCAATGCGAAAACGGTCACGGGGCCCACCACCCGAGGGCAAAGACGAGCCCAGAAAGAAAATATATGAAGTACCAATGTCTCCTAATGGAAACCAGAAAACCAAGAACCTAATAGAATTACAAAGAAAGAAATTTTAGAATTATTAAGAACAAGCAGCCAGCTAACACAGAACATATTTAGTTGACATCAACCCCCAAAACAGAGTATTAAAGCTGAGGCTCACGACATCCCGCCGTCATATCAGATTGACTTAGCTACTTGACTTGCCATTGGATATTTGTAAAAAGAAGCGTCTAAAGCTCAGGATATGTAGATTACGAAAAGAAACAAACAATCTGGCTTGCAACGATCCTCAAGATAAAGCAAAGATAACAGTATCCTAAATACACAAAGATCGCAAAATACAAATAACAACTGGTACAATTACAGAGAGTTGAATGATAAATGATTAATTACTAGTTTTCTCTGGGAGTATACGGAGTAATGAACAGGTAGTTGTTTTCAATAATTGTGTCATTTTGGTCAACCTGAATTCACTTTTTTGGTTTGTCAGAGCGTTTTATTCTAACTGACATTCTTTCTAACTGATCTTCAATTCGTTAAGTTAGAAACAAGGTGAGTTTCTAACACTAGGTCACAGCACTGGAGATAGAGGAAAAACCGAAACCCGTCAAACGCAGCAGCCCAGCGAGAAAAGCATACAAAGATAAACTACTGAAGATAGTGAAATGGCATAACCTAAGATGATAGGAAACACCCAACAACTAAGTTTATATTAAGCATCAGTCTTCATTTGAACGATTCCTTCGAAATGACTCCGGCCAAATTTTATGGCTTACTTTTGTCTCGTCAAAATGTATTTTGTAATTGATTTTATTTGGATCTTTGGACATCTTTGGAGCATTCGATCATCTGGTCTGACATGCTGGGATGCTGTGCAAACTCATTCTTCCTATTTACCCATCCATGCTCTCTGGGCAGGAGTCCCCCTAGATAATTCTTGGTCCAATCCTTTACTTAATATAGCAGCTCACATCCCTGATCACCCAATATTTCCATATTTCCTTTGTCTACGATACTGCAATCCATCCACAATGATCCTGTCCTTGCAGTTTACTCCCTACGGTCTTTATTTGCCGTCCTTGAGTTTGGTAAAGAGGTTCGGTTTTTCCTAGTACATAAGTAGTAACGTACTGTAAGTACAGATCAGAAGAAGGAAAAAATCTTGAATGACGTTGAGTAAAAAACTCCTGCAAGTACATATGCAGGATAAAAACGAAAAACACTGTACACGTTAGAAATAGATTGAAAGAAAACCACTGTGATATAGGAGCAATCAATAATATCATTAGATATTTGATCAGTTTAGACCCAAGAATGAATAAAAACCCATGGCACGTTCGAGATTAACCAAATGGGACCGTAATTGTGTACAAATAGATCCACAGTTTAAATATAAGGAACGCGAAATACACAACCGTCTATTTCACCGGTTAATGAAATTGCATAACAGAATAATTTACGGTTTGAATGGGGTTCAGCCTGTGTTTGATAAAATATCGAAGAGTACCGGCAATTGTAATATTTGTTTTTTGACTCTTCTATGAGCGATGATGTACGCGTTGACTTCCGGATTGGTTCCCAATTCCCTGTGAGTGGTGTCGGCTAGCCAGATCATGTTGCTTATGACCAATCGGACTATGGCTTTAAACTGATACAAAGGGTGGATTTTCACAATTGCCTGAAAAGAAAAAAATCTGGGTTAAATCGATGAATCCGGCTGCGAGTATATGAAGCCAACCTTTCTTTTCCTTTTCGAGGCGGATGTCCCGACGCTCATTTTGCCGACGCTAGCGTTGTATTTCCTTTTTGGTGGCATTTTGGCTAAATTCCAATAACGCTTTCGGGCAAAGAAATTTTCACTGAAACTCTATCTTCAACTGGAACTGTTAATCTACATCTATTTCTGGATGAAGTTAAACTAATATCAAAAAATAGTAACATATGTAACGAAATATTTTCTGTTTTTATTTTTCATAAAGACATCTTGTTATGCATTATTAATTCTTTTAAAAAACATTCGTGGATTCGAGCGTAAATAGTTATTAAAAATGAGATAGCGTTTTCAGCTTTTGATAAAGGCTCGTGCTCAAAAGGTCCCACTGCATGTCGATTATTACAGTAACCTGCCAAACTGCGTGCTTATCGCCAGAAGCTGTGTAAGCTGTGCTACGAGGGATCCGGTTTGAATGTCGAACGGAATTCAAGTGCCGTCCTCTCGTAGTAATCGTTAGCCCAGTGATGTACGGCCGACTAATGGGTACGACTCTAATGGTGTGACCCGACAAATAATGGCACCCGGCATGGATAATTAGGGTGGCCTGCGGGATCGCTACGAAGTGGCAATGTATAAAAATTCAGCCCAGTCGCTGGGATTCGTTATTTGAGTGTATGAAGATACCGTGTGATTTTTGTTTACAAACCCCCAGAGAAAAATGCACAATATGAAATTTTCAAAATGTCCCTAATACCTTTCGGTATCCTTATAAGCCTCACAAAAACAGAAATAAACGTATGATTTAAACAATTTGTGACAACGTTAATTGTTTTCGTCACCATATATTATACATATTATATACTTACACACACACATATATACTTATACACATACGCCCATACACAAACACACACACACACACACACAACATATATATAAAGTTATTCTGGACCTTAAAGTCTACTTGAGTAACTAATAATCAATACAACATATTCATAGAGATTCCAGCCATGTAAGGCTACACAAGTATGTACATTTACAAAAACATTCTACTATGTAAATTAAATTAAAGATCTTCTAAAAAGATCACCATTCTTGTCTTTTTTCCCTCCTTTTTGCCATTTTTCAAATGGCCAAATGAAAATTCGAAATGTGGGATGAGGTGGAGAGTTGGTGTCCGAGAGGATCGAAGTCACGATAGCTCAAGTGGTAAAGCAGCGGCGTATTTAGCCGAAGGTCGTGGGTTCGAATCGCACTCGTGACACTGACTTTTTTATCTCAACCAATACCTCACATAAAGATTAATTAATTGAAAGGTGTTATTTGGTCAATCGGACTACGAAATCTAAATGGTTTTACTGTATGTTCGTGAAAATCCGTCATCTTGTCCAGACTTCGGGACTCTGATTATTAAAGGCTATAAAATACAATAAATATTTAAAACAAAAATAAAAATAAAAAATAAAAAAATCTTATAAAATTGTCGTGGTGGGATCAGGACAGTTGTTTCAGGCTTTTTGAGATGAAATAAAAATAACCACAGCAATTAAATACAAATGAACACCTTTTTTTCTTTTTTTTTTAAATAAAAATGAACAAAACAGAATAAATTCCCTTTTTTTAAAATTAAAATAAAATTATACAAACAAGTATCTTTTCTATATTTAAAAATGAACAATACTGATTAAGGCCTTTTTATAAAAAATTAAGAAAGCAAAAAAAACATTGTGCCGGCAATAATAAAGAAAATCAATTGACAAAAGTGAACAAATGAAAATAAAATGTTCTCTGGATTACCCTGCAGCTCGTTGAAAGTCCAAGGCAAATAGTTGTCGAACTCGTATGAAGCCGGGTGTGCAGTCCGACGTCCAGAAAGATCTCTTCCCTCCGTAAAAAAGGCTGCTGAATCAAGAAAACGTCCACTTGTCGTCCCCGGGGAAAAATAACGAGAGCGCAAACCACAAAAAAGACAAGCTCCCTCTCTCGTCGCCACGCGATCCTCGTCTGCCGGAGCCGCCGCGCATCAAGCGAACTCTCGTGCACTCGCGCTCCAATTTGAATGTGGTTATAAGGCGTCTAACGTTTGCAAAATGTCGATTTGGGAAGCTGAAGAAAGCGTTCTACCACACATCCTACGGATGATCGATCCAACATCTATTAGCATGCTAAACCGTTGGAATTTTCGAACGTGGGCAGAGAAAAATCCGAGAATTTCGTACTCTTGTCAACATTAGGTCTGCCAGAATTTTTAGTGTAGAATTGTCGGAAATAAATTAATTCGCCATTATTTCTACGAAAATAATTTATATGGTGCTAAATTCCTCAATTTTTAGAGAGATGATTTATTAGATGATGTCCCTCTGCAACAACAACAAAGAATGATTCTCCAGCCTGATGGATGCCCTGCACACAATTTTTTGCAGGAGAGACATTCGTATAGTCACTTCCGGGATAGGTGGATAGGACATCATTGACCTCTGTTGTCCTCTTTGGTCACCCGATTTAACTCCACTGACTATTTTTCGTAGGGGCGTTTAAAAAACAGTGTCCTCGCCAATCATAACCCAGCAACTTCAGTTGAAAAACTGCGTCAAAGGTGTCAATCCATCTCCCCTGATTCTATCGCTCTGAGAAGCAGTGAAGAGTGGTTAAAAAGAGAAAGTCTTTACATCGTTACGCAAGGCAGGCAGTTCGAACACGAAATTTGATTAATAACTAGCAAACCAAATGTCTGTTTTTTTCAAACTTTTTGCCATAACTGTCTCATTTTTTGACCAATTTAAAATCCTACTACACCATTGCTTTCAGTGTGAAAAATCTTTTAAAATTATCTGTCCGGATGTCTAGGGTCCTATTTGAATTGGGCCTGAAGCACCCTGTATAATTTTTCTACAAAAAATTTTGAAACTATACTAAAAACTATTAAATATTTTTTCTTTTGGTAGCGTTATTGTTCAAGAGAGATTCAGCCGAGCCATCTAAAAGGACACCTTGAATAACTCAACAGTCTCTGAGGCAATTACGTCTTGAAAAACTATAAACTTCGGTGCCGTGTGTTTGCAAAGCACCGGCCGAAGAAGTCAAGTTATATCTTTATCAATCGCTCCTGCCACATTCAACGAACTATAAAAATATCTTAGTCGAAACAAATGTCATGAACCAGGTAGTGACTTGTTTATGTTAAAATAAAATTTGGTACATACTCAACGTCTCCTTTTTATTTCAATATGATAAGCTGAAAGCGACACATTACCTTAATCGTTTCACGTCCCACCAAGTATTATTATGTACTTATCATTGCAACCAACCTAACCCAATTAAATAAATTATCAAATGTCTCGAGATAGTAGGAAAAGGGAAGAAAGAGGAAATAAAAAATTCTTATATAAACACGCAAAATAATGTTAAAATCCTATTAAGCAATATAAAACTGAACTTGGTAGAAAACACTATACTAACACACATGGAACAATGGAATTAAAGAAGAAATACTGCAAGAAGAAAAGCGACGAATAAAAATTTCCTGGCAATTAGTTAATGGCTTCTGTTCTGCCTCATGTATGGATCGAAAACATGGTGCTTAATGAGAAAAATAAAATATCGCCTGCAAATTACCCAAGCAACTGCAACCACAAATGTCGTAAAAACAACACTCATGTAACAATGGAGCTGGGCAGGCCACGTTGCCAGAATAAAGGATGCTCGGCTAATAATGTATTGATTGTCAGTTAAATAAATGTGTATCATGATATAATAACAAATAACCATCTTTAGACAAAGGTATTTCTCATTCAAGTCCAATTATTTTTGTTTTGTGCCTTCCTGGTCCAAAAGAAGCCGTTGATATGGTCAAGGTTGCCTTGCTCTTTTCTACCTGTTTCAATTCTTGGGTTTGTTTGTCAAGTTTATTAATTATCGGTTTAATAAATGTGTATAATTATATAAGTAATCGCATTTCACGTTTATATTTCGACATGTTTCTATATGCGCAAATTCTTTATGTTTAAAATAACCCTTTATAGAAATGTTTTTCATAAATTCACAAACAGATTTAATACTTCTTTAGCTGTATTATATATTGCATTGGAAACGTTTGCAAAAAAAAAAAATTATGTAGCCAGAAAAAATCTTATCTCCACTTATTAAACCTCTTCCAATGGAGAAGTATTGAAGAAAAAGTTTGAAAAGTTTAACGCGATCATTATCAATTTTCGAGTATTTCATATTGCACTTCAATTGCCTTATGTAAATTTCTCTAGGTTGAGAATTATAACGACAAGAGGAATAGATAAAATATCGTGTGATAAGTGAGGTTTTTTTAAAGAAGAATAATTGTCATCGATACCTTGACTCTTTTCTCTTTTTTTATTACATTTATTTGATATTTACAACTACAAGTAAATATATATTGAATTTATCATTCGAGCCTCTTGTATATATTATATTAATTACAACAAACTTATTTTAATATAAACCAAATTAATCGAGATCAAAAATTTATTAGTTTTCATTTTTTTAAAATAATTTTAATGGTTTGGTAGAAAATTGATCAAAACACCGGAATACGATTTTTTGATATAATGAATTTAACTAACAATCTGTTACACGGTTTTGCTCATAAAATTACACCATTTTCGTCGAGTAGCTTCAGAACAGGACACTCATATTTTTGTAGTTTATTTCATACTGTGTATATGTAATTTTATCGTTATATTAATTCTTATTTTAATATAAACGAAATTAAACGAGATCAAAAATTCATGAGTTTTTATAAAAATTATTTAATTATGATGGTTAGGCTGAAAATTTATCGAAAGACCGGACAATTAAATTTAACTAACAATTTATTACGTGGTTGTGCTTATAAAATTTTAACTAAAAATGTATTACAATGTTTTGCTCAAAATAGTGCATTAAGAACAAAGGAGTTGCGATTGTCATAGAGATTATTGTGATACACGTTGTGTGATACACTTACGTGGCGTGCGCTTGACGTCGCGCAGATGTGCATACCCTCCGGTAAGTGTGTTCCCTGCTTTAATCGTCTTGGAGGATTTTCAGGTAGAGTTGGATGTGTTAAATGTCGTACTAATTATTGTGTGTGTTCAGTGATTGATGAAATTTTTTATAGTGGGTTTTGATGAATTCGTACAAATGGATTTGTAGATCGTTATGAATAGTAATTTGAAACGTAAAAAGGAGCATTTATAATTTGACGGAGAATTTTAAATTGGATT